GAGGATACAAAGAATATTACAGGTTGCTTTTCCTGAAGACAGATCATTTAATTTAGGGGGTGGGGGGGAAATGCAAGGTTCACTAAAATTTAATTGATGTGAAAAGTTAAGTAACAATACAAAACATAAGTTAGGAGGTACTGCAAGGAAGCACATGACTAGTGGCAAACAAGCAGTACAACAGACTCTGCCACAGGTTAAAGTACTCTGGGTAAGCTTCAGAGAAGATGGGACAGGAACTCGGTCTTTCATTATCTTATGATGATTACAGGACCTGGACCAGTGGGAAGGGATGTCTCTCCAGATCAGAAACACTGAGGCGGTAATTAATTCCAGGACATAAAAGAGAAGAATTAAAAGTCACAACTTCAAGGTAGAAAGTAAAACAAATGAGGGAAGCTTCTAAGATACAAAAATTATCCTCACTGAATGATAACTGAAAAAGAAACACAGGAGTTCAAAAGTATAGCATCTGAAACAGGAAATGACAGAGGCAGTTTGAAATTGAAAAGATCTGGACACCATTTAAAAGCTTTGGTAAGGATAGTCTGAAGCAGCAGAAAATTATGAGTGTGTTTCTCAAGAGACAGGAAAAGGTAGTCAACGTCATTACAAGATCCACTATCAGAGTCAGCAATAAATAACTATACAGTCAAGATCTCTTGAATCATAAAACTTATGCAATTACTAATGAGGGACATGTGGAGACAGTGGCAGGCACAATATGGCCAAAAGCAGACCTCACCATCACTCGCTGGGATTCCTTGAGCATGCACTAAACCTCCCTGAGTCTTTTTAATACAACCTTTGAAGGTCAATTTCCATTTACAGTTATTACAAAATACTGGCTATACTCCCTGTGTTGTACAACGTATCTTTGAGTCTTAATGTCCTCTTCCATGAAAAAAAAAAGGTCTGAAAATCTGAAGAGCTTCAAGTGAGATTTAACACAGAGCTCTTTAAAAACGAAAGGTAGAATGAAAATGAAAATACAACATACTAAAATCTGTGGAACACAGCTAAAGCCCTGCTGAGAGGGAAATTCATTAACACCATGTGCCTATATTAGAAAGGAGGAAAAGTCTCAAATCAGTGATCTAAGGTCTTCCCTCAAGAACTTAGAAAAAGAAGAGCAAAAATAAACCAAAAGCAAGCAAAGGAAATAAAGATAAGATCAGTTATCAGTTTATTGAAAATACAAAAATAATAGAGAAAAACCAGTGAAACAAATAGTTCTTTGAAAAGATCAATGAAACTGACAAACTTCTAGCAAGACTGACAAAGGCAGACGATGCAAATTACCAATATCAGGAATGAAGCAGGGACTGTCACTACAGACTGAGAAATCAAAAGGATCATAAGATAATATTATGAACAACTCCATACACAGAAATTTGACCACTTGGAAGGAATGGATCACAAAACCACACACCATCACAACTCACCCAATGTGAAATAACATGAATAGCCAGATAACTATTAAGGAATTTAAATTTTTAAGTTTAAAAGTCCCTCTCTGTAAACTAATATGTAGACTTAATGTAATATCTATCAAAATCCCAGCAAAATTCTTTGTAGGTAGACAAGACTATTCTAAAATTTATAATGAAAGGCAAAGAAACTAGAATAGCCAAAAAATTTTTGAAATATAAGAATAAAGTGAGAAGCATCAGTCGACTCTATTTCAAGACTTATTTATGTAGCTACAGGAATCAAGACTGCATGCTAACAGAGACCCCAGAAAGAGATCCACACAAACACGCTCAACTGATTTTTGACAAAAGTGCAAAAGCAATTCAAGAGAGGACAGATAGCCTTTTCAACAAATGCTGGAGCATCCATAAGCCAAAAATGATCCTTGACCTAAGTCTTGTATCTTATACAAAAATTAACTCAAAATGGGTCATAGGTTTAGATGGAAAACAAACTATAAAACTGTTAGGAAAAAAATTAGAGAAAACCTTTGGTATTTTGAGTTAGGCAATGGATTCTTAGACTTGACACAAAGGTACAATCCGTATGACGAAAAACTGATAAAATGGATGTTACCAAAACTTTTAAAAATGTTTGCTCTGCAAAAGATTCTTTAAGAGGATGAAAAAAACCCCACAAAGAATGAGAAAAAACATTTGCAAGGACTGGTGTCTAGAATATATATTTTAAACCACATAGCAAGGACTGGTGTCTAGAATATATATTTTAAAAACATCTAAAATCAACAGTAAAAAAAAAATCCAATTAGACAATGTGCAAAAGAAATGAAGAGACATTTCACTGAAGAGAATATACAGATGGCAAACAAGCACATTAGAAAAATGCAAGTTAAAACCCCAATATATCATTACATACCTATCGGAAGGTCTAAATAAAAAAACAGGAACACCAAGCGCTGGGGAGGATGTGGAAAAACTGGTCTTGCATACATTGCTGATGGGAATGAAAAATGGTGCAGAAACTCTGGGAAAGAG